CAGTTGCGAATTGTCGTTGGAGTAACCTTATTCCAGGCTTCGATCGACCACGTCATTGCCGTATGGTTGTCAATTGTGGTGACTTGCCGAACTTCATTGTCTCTCGACATGAGAGATCTTCATCGGCATGTTGGCCAAAAAATACTCTTTAATTAATGCCTTCTCGTGGATTGTCAACCGCTTGCTCTGCATTTACAACTTTGCTTTTTGTGCGTGTGATTGTTGACAGTAAATGTGCGGCCATTTGCCACTTCGAATTTGAAATTCAAACGATTTGAACTCGTCAAACAGTCTTGGGAAACTTGATAATTGATTAAGTTGAGCAAGGTATTAATTTATACCAGGTCTGACATTTGAGATTTGTGAATTTTTTATGTATGGATAACTTTGGAAATCCGACATTTTTATCTGACAATGATGTGATTGGTCGATAAGTCAGCCAATTACATTTTCTGGAGCACTTCGAGAATTTCAACAGGTTGTGTTTCCACCTTGGCCGTTCTCGAGCTCCGTTCGTCGAGCACTGGAGATTGATGCATGTACTTTCTGGACCACCGAGTGGGCCTCCACAGACTCGCCGCCGATCCGACCCGAGCCAGAGATTACGTACACGAAGGCGTTGTGGTGGACGGGAAGGGGGTGGAAGTGCGTGGCGGGGCAGGTGAGGGTGAAGTGCACGTACGTGATGGGGACATTCGTGAAGACGTTGGTCTTTTCACCCATGGCCTCGCCGGCGATGATGATGGCTTCCACGTTGCCGTCCTTGGCCCGCGGCAAGCCCGACGCGGGGATCTCTTGGTACTTGGGGTCGGTCATCTTCAACCGAGCAGGCAAGTTGAGCCACAGCTGGAGCCCGATGGCGAGGGCGTCGCGGCTCGCCGGCATCTCGGCATGGACGATGTCTCGCCCGGGGCACGTCCACTGCAGGTCCCCCGGCGCCAGCTTGCCCTTGTGTCCACAAAAGTATTATCGTTTCGAACCCGCGGTGGGGGTGGTCGGGGAACCCCCCCGGTAGCGCCACGTGGAACTCGTCCAGCATCAATAACGGGTCCAGTCGCCGGAGTATGGGGTGTCCGATGGATCGGGGGACTTGGCAGTGGATTAGTACATTTCAACGAATAGTTAATCATTTGCATTTCTACCAATGAGATTGAGCAAACCTGCTAGTCCTTCACATTTCCACCAATCACATTCATGATATGTGCTATGTAAATTGTTATGTTGCCAAACGACAAATTGATCGCCCAATCCAAACGGTTCAAAGACATTTCGTCCAATCATATCTCAATGGCATGTCGGTTCTCCAATACCCTTCCAGAAATTTGTCGGATACATGTCGTATGCCACCTATATGTATATTTAAATACATACAAAAACATCCAATGCCTGAATATTTTTATCAACGCAAACATGGAAATTCCAGCACAATAGCTGCCACGAACTGCGAGCATGGATCGCCTGCGCCCTCAGTCGACTGTGCATGCTAGGG